TTTTTCCCGGGCCCGGGGGAAAAATTTCCCCCCAAAAACACCAAATCGTAGTCCCAAAAAAAAAAATTTCCGTCCCTTTGGGGAAATGGCATGGTTTTAAACCCGATGTCATTGTTCTTTTGGGCTTTTAATTTTAAAAAAATTTCTTAAAAAGGGATACAAAATGCTTTTTAAAAGGAAAAAAAAGGGGGCCATTTTTTTTCTGATTTTTAATCTGTAATGTACTTTTAATTTTCAAATAAAAGGGAGAAGAAATTAAATAATAAAAGGGTTTTTTAAAACCCCGGAAAACTGGGAAATTTTTTTTTACTAGTTTTCCCCCCCCCGGGGTTATTTTTCCTGCCCAAATTTTAAAAAAATTTTTAATTTTTTCTTTTTTTTTAATTTGGGTTTTTTTAAATTTGGGGCCCCCTTTTTTTCCCCCCTTTTTTTTAAAGCTTTTTTAAGCCGGTTTTTTTTTTTCCCAAAATTTTTTAAATTTCCAAAAAGGGTCCCCCCCATGGGGAAAAAAATCTAATTTTTTTTACCCCCCTTTTCCCTCATCTTCCCCGTTTTTTTTCTAAAAAATTTTTAAGTTTTTGGGAAAAACAAAAAAGGGCCCCAAAAAAATAAAGGGAGTTGGGGGGGCAAACTTGATGATGTTTTTGTAAAAAAGGGGTAATTTTAACCCAATAATTTTTAAATTTTTGATTTTATTTGTTGAGGGGGGTTTCCCCTAGTGATAAAAATTTTTAAAACCCCCCTTTTTCGATATGGAAAAATTTTCCTACTAGCACTTTCCCCCTTTTGTAAAAGAGGGGGAAACCTGTAAGAGGGTGCAGTTTAAATTTTTAAAAAAGCCACAGTTTCGACGTAAGTCTACGGGGGATTTAATCACCCCCCCCAAAGCTCGGGGAAAAAAACACCCCCAAAAATTTTGGAAAAATTTTTAAAATTATTATCCCCAAATTTTTTAAAGGGGCGAACCCTTTTAAATGTTTTCCCAAAAAAGCATAATTGATCACCGAAAAACTGATGGGCCCCCGGCCCAAATTTTTGTTTTTGAAAGATTCCGTTCATTTTCCAAAAAAGGGTTTACCCCGACTTTTTCCCCCAATGATGACAAAAAAAACCCCCGGTTTTTTAAAAATTTTCCCAAATTGGGGAAATTTAAAAACCCCAAATATTTGGGTGGCCCGGGGAAAGGGTCTGTCCCCCCTTTTTCCCGGGAAATTTAAAAAGGCTGAGGATGTTTCCCTTTTTAAATTTTTTTGCTTTTTCCAAAAAAAGTTTTTGGGGAAAAAGTCCCAGTTTAAAAAAAAAATTGGGGGCCCCGGGGGTTTAAAGCCCCCCAATCCCCGCAATTTTCCTTTTTTGGGGAAAAATTTTGGGGAAAAAACCCCAAATTTTTCCCCAAAAAAAATTTTTTCCCTTCCCCTTTTTCCTTTTGAACCTGCAATTGAATTTTTTTTTTGGGGCCCCAAAACCCGGGGGTTGGAGATTTAAATTTTCCCGACGATTTTTTTCCCAGGGGTCAAAAAAAAAAACAAATTTTTCCCCCTTTTTTATCTAACATGGAGAAAAAAAAACAGATTGTAAAAAAATTTTGGGGGGAAAATTTAAAAAGGGTTTTCTTTTTTTTCCCCGCCCGGGAAGGCTTTACAAAAATCATCTGAAGAAAAGTGCTTTTTTCCCCAAAAAAAAAGACTGGGGGAAACTTTCCGGAAACCATGATTAGGTTGTTTAAAAATTTTAAAAAAATTTTGGGGGAAGGTGTTTCAGTGCTTTCCTTTTAAACCCCTTTTAAAAAGGGGGGACATAAAAACCCCAAACCTTTTAAAAAAAGGGGGTGCGTTTTTCCCCCCAATCCCCACATGATCCCGGGGGTTTTAGTAAGTGCATTAAAAATTTTGTAAGCAGCCGGGGGTCATTTTTGAAAAAAGGGTTTTTCCCCCAAAATTTTTCCCCCTTTTAAACCTATAAAATTTTTTTACAAAAATTAAAAAAAAGAAAGGGGGGGAAATCTGATGGAACATCTTTTTTTTAAATTTTAAAAAGGGCTCAACTGTTTTTGATTTGGGGATATAGGGTTTTTTGTGCATCAACACCCCCTTGCCCCCTTTTCCCCCGGGGAAAAGGGGACCCAATGAAGAATTTTAAAAAGGGGGAAACCACCCAAAAGGGGAAAAAAGGCCGGGTTGGGTTTAAACCCCGGATTTTTCCCGTTTACTAGACAGGCCCTTTAAACCCAAACCCAAGCCACAGTGCCAAAAAGAGAAGGGGGAGTGGCCAGCCCCAAAGACATATTCTGGAAAGTTGGGGTCAAAAAAAAAATTAACCAAAATTTGGGGAAATTTTTAAAGAAAAACAGGGGAAAAAAATCAGACAGGCGGGTGTTGTTGACTGTTTTTTTTCCCCCAACATGCTGGGGCCCTTTTTTTTTAAAATGTTCCAGGGGCTTTTAATTAAATTTTAAATACAGCCCCAGTCAAAAAAATTTTTCCCGGGGGCCCCCAAAAACCCCCCACCCTGAGTTTAAAGGGAGTCCCATGCTCTCCCCACTGAGTTTGCCGGCCATTTTCTCCCTTTTTTGCCCCTGAGGGGGGAAACCCGGTCCCGCAAAAATGCCTGTTTCCCCCCATTTTTTCCCCCTGGTTGGGAAGACAACTTTTTAAAAAAAGGGGGAAAATTCTTTTTAAAAGGCCCCCCCTTGCTTTTGGGGAAAAAGGTGATGGAGTTCACCTGGCACAGTGGCACCGATGGTGAATTTAAACGCCGTCATTGCCCCAGCGACTGTAGCCTGCTTCTATCAGTGTGTCTGGTACAACTTATGTTGTGTTCATATTATTAAATTACCCTAAAATGGTATCTGCAAATTTTTTTTCCTGGCCGGGTGCAAATTCCCATAATCACCATGATCATTACAGTCCCCAAACTAAAAATTTGCCTGTCCTACAATTCGAACTGGCATGGGCTTACAGCTTGATGTCATTGTTAGATTTGGTCTCTACATTCAAAAGTTTCATTCAAGTGTGATACTAGTGCTACTTAAATGAGAAAAGAGGGTCCACTACTTTACTGAGACTCAATCTGTAATGTACATTACTAACTTCAAATCAAGGCAGAAGTAATTATATATAATCAAAGAGTGTTCCGCAAGCCCGGCAGCTGGGCAATTTGCTGACTTCATAATCCTCCTCCACCGGTTACTTTCCTGACCAATTTAAAAGTTTGGCCCCTTTTTACATTTTTTTTTAGATAAGCGCTTTTAATTTGCAGATTTACCTTTTCTTCACCGTCACTATAAAGCATTCCTAAACCGTGCTTATTATTACTCCAAAATTATTTCAGCATCAATGAGATCCCATGCGTCATAGGAACTAGTCCGCGTTATTTCTACTCCCCTTTTCCATCATCTTAACGTCGTTGCTTTTCTGGAAAATCTCTAAAGATCTCTGGATGATAAGCTGAAAGAGGCCGACCCAAAAACATGAAAGTCTGGCGGGCAAACATCCGATGATGTGTTTTGTAAAGAAAGTAATGTCAGCGATAATAGGTTAGTCTATGTTCGTTTTATTCTGTTGAGAGGTTTGCACATGAGGTGATAATAATGAAAAAAAGCCGCATCGATATGGAATATTATCCTACTAGCACATTCCCATTTTGTCAAGACGGAACACTGGCTGAAGATGCGATACGTTATTAATTTATGAAAATGCCAGCAGTTTCGACGTAAGTCTACAAATTATTTAATCATCCGTCAGTAACCTAGAAGAAACTCATGTCAAACGTTGGAAATTTTTATAAATTACTTATCGCGTCAAGGGCTAAATTGTCGAATACCGTCTAAATGTCTTTACCAGTAACCAGCATAATTTGATCATTAAAAGACCCCATCAAACGACCGAACAATTTGTTTTTTGCAAAGATTCCCGTTCATTGCTTCAAAATGTTATCTGACATTTTCCCCAATGATGACATAAAGCATGGCATATTTTTTATATTCTGAATTAGTGTAGCTCATAAAAGCGGCACATATTTAGGTAGCCTTAGGAGGTGTAAATGATGCTGTCTCTACGCCATTGCGAATTCAAACTGAGGATGTTTCCCATTTTAAATGTTTGCTTTTTACCTGAAAGCATTTTGAATAAGTCCCAACTTAAAATAAATTGAAATGACCCCAGGACTTTTATGACTTAAAAGCGACCACCGCTAATGTCCTTTTTCCCTTCAAATTTTCTCAGAATGCGACCTCTGCAATAACTAAGTAAGTTTTCCTTCCTTGGCTCACAATGTGTGACACTGCAATTGAAAGTACTTTCTCCAGGCCTGGCTGTGGAATCAATGTTAATTCCTGCACAGTATTACTTTCTCACAGATTGAGTCGAAAAAAAATCAAATGTAATTCCTTTTGAGCTCTAACATGGAGAAAATATCCCAGATTGTGGAAATAATCATCATCGAATTTAAAGAGCTGCTAGCATTCCAAAGAAAATAACTTCTTAAGAATAGTCATCATCGCATTCTAAATTGTTTATTCTCAAAATGTTGGGGAAGGTGTTTCAGTCTTCTAGACACTTAACCGATTAGGTTGTTTGAATTCTCAAAATGTTGAGGTAGTTTCCATCCCACTCGACCTTGATCCACGTTGCCTAGTAAGGGTACATTCAACCAACCTTTACATAGCACGGTAGATTCCTCCATCCCACAATCCCCACACATGAGGTTCAAAAGGCGCCTATTATCTGATTCAAATTATTTAATGTTCTAACGGAGGTCATTTCCTTAGCCGCCAGTGATCGCCCTCATGCAGCTTTTCATAACCTCATGAAGTTTTCACTTCCTTTAAAAAAGGCCCGATGAAGAATTGATGGAAAATCATTTTTGAATGTTCTGCACAAGTTTGAGCAAATCTCCTGTTTACTTGACAGGACGGTATCGCTGGTATTGCATCCAACAGCTCTGCCGCTTCCTCCTCAACATATCTCTGGAAAGTTTCAAAATCAAACCAAAAAGAAGGACAAAACTGCTGGGATTTGAACCAGGATCTCCTGTTTAAAATCAGACAGGCACTTTTAACCAACTAAGCCACAGTGCCAACAAGCTAAAAGGTGGCCAGTCCTCGTACATATCTCTGGAAAGTTGTGCGGGTCCAAATAAAATTGACCAAAATACAGACTAAAGCGAAAGCAAAAGAAAAAATCAGACGAGCAGTGACTTTGAACCACGACCCTGGGGTCACGGCATACTTTTAAATAAGCTCCAGAGGCGATGCCGGTTCACGCTCGCGGAGACTAGTCAAAGTGGCGTAGCGTGGGAGACTCGAACCCACGACCCTGAGATTAGTCTCATGCTCTACCGGCCCCAGGCTACCTGGCCACTTTCATGACCTTTTGACCCTGAAAATACCTGCTAAAATGCCTGCTTTCACCATTTCTTCCCATAGTTGGAAAGACAACTTTCTCAAAAAAGCCAGGTGGAATATCTTGTGCCATGATCCATACATGGCGTTTGCTTGAATGGTGATTGGAGTTCACCTGGCACATGGCCGATGGTAAAGATTCGCGCCGTCATTTCTTGGCGACTGTGTGCATAACTCGCATCAGGTGTGTCTGGTACAACTTGCATGTTGTGTTCATGTGTTAAATTTACCTAAAAATGGTATCTGCCAAATTTTTTTCTGGCGGGTGCAAAATTTACGATCACCATGATCGTACAGTCCCAAACTAAAAAATTTGCCTGTCCTACAATTGAACTGGCATGGTATTACAACAATGTCATTGTTAGGTCTCTACATTCAAAAGTCTCTAAGGAACACTTAATTAGATTAATTATTTTTTTAATTTAAAAGTTATAAAAACGACAAGGGAATATTTCCTACTACTTCCCATTTCAAAAAAATTCAAAAGGCGATTTAATTTATGAAAAATTCGAACTTAAGATTTAACATCCGTCAGTCTAAAAATTTAAAATAATTTTAATTTCTTAAACTATTTGTATCCTTATCTTCAAACCCCAAAAAGGAACCCTTAGAATGTCAGAAGACCGCAATTTTTTGAAGACTGTCGTTAAAATTTTCTTCTTTCCAATGAATGCATAAAACCCAAATTTTTTTTAAAATTTAATTTTGCCAAAAAACATAAGGGTCCCACGGGAAAATTTTTCCAGGCAATTCCTAAACCAAAGCTTTTTTAAATGTTTTTAAAGAAAACCTTTTCCCAAGTTTATTAATCAACCCAATAAAAAACCCTGTTTGAGAAAATTTTTGAAAGCAGTCTTAAAGTTTTTTTCTTCCAAATGAAAGTAGGTATCAGCAATAGATTGGATATATTAGATTTATTCTGTTGAGAGGGTTTGCATGCAGTATTAATATTATAAAAAGCCGCGCTACGATGGAATATTATCCTACTAGCACATTTCCCATTTTTTTTTCAAGGCGGAGACACTGTAGGCGATACAATTATTAATTTATGAAAATGCCGGCAGTTTTAGAGCGTAAGTCTACAGGGTATTTAATCATCCGTCAATGCTCCTGAAAACTCATGTCAAAGCGTTGGAAATTTTATAAATTACTTATCGGCGTCCAAGGCTAATTGTAATAAAATGCCGTTCTAAATGTCTTGCCAACAACCAAGCATAATTCGATCATTAAAGACGGTCAAACGACCGACAATTTGTTTTTAGCAAAGATTCCACGTTCATTGCTTCAAAATGTTATCTGACATTTTTCCCCATGATGACATAAAAGCATAGCGTATTTTTTTGTATATTCTGAATTGGTGTAGCTCATAAAAGCGGCACATATTTAGGTAGCCTTGGGGTGTAAATGATGCTTCGTCCCTTGCCAATTGCGAATTCAAAGCGCTGAGGATGTTTCCCATTTTAAATGTTTGCTTTTTACCACAAGAAAGCATTTTGAATAAGTCCCAGCTTAAAATAAATTAAAGACCCCAGGACTACCATTACTTAAATCCACATAATGTCCTTTTGAAAATTCAGAAGCGATCTCGCTAACTACAAAAAAGTTTTCCCTTCTTTTCTTAACAACCTGCAATTAAATGCTTTAATACAGCCCGAGGCCTGGCTGTGGAGGATTAATTCCTGCACCGAAGTATTACTTTCTCAGGGAGTCAGAAAAAAATCAAATGTCTTTCATTTCATCATGGAAGAAAGAAATAAAAGCAAGATTGGAAATCTTAAATGGTGAATTTAATGAGCTGCTAAACTTATTCACCAGTCAGAGCTTCTACGAATAGTCATCCATCGCATAAAAGTGCTTCATTCCATCCCCAATCCCTAGGATGCATTTGCCTAGTAATTAAGTTGTTTGAATTTTCAAAATGTTGTCATAAAGATTAAATTAGTTGTTTGAATTCCCAAAATGAATTCCTCATACAGCTTTCCTTTCATGGAAGTTTTTCTAGAGGTTAAAAAAAACATGAGAATTATCTGATGGAACATCATTTTTGAATGTTCTAACACTTGGCCCCAAGGCTCAACACTGAATTTTGATCACCCAGACAGTATAAGTGTTGTGCATCAAAACAGCTCTGCCATTTCCTTGCCTGAAAAAGAGCTAATGAAGGGTTTCAAAATGGGTCCACCCAGAAGGAAGAGAGAAAACTGCTGGGATTTGAACCCAGGATCTCCTGTTTACTAGACAGGCACTTTAACCAACTAAGCCACAGTGCCAACAAGAGCAAGGGTGGCCAGTCCTCAGACATATCTCTGGAAGGTTGACGGTCAAATAAAATTGACAAAACATGGGTACCTGAAGAAGGATGGAAAAAAATCAGACAGGCAGTGTTGTTGAGCTGCTTTGCTGTCCAGCATGCTGGCCCGGTGCTTTTTAAAAAGTGTCTCCAAGGCGTGCAGATTCACTTTCTAGACATACAGACTAGTCAAAGTAAAAAAGAGCGTGGGGCTCGGACCACTACCCTGGTTAAAAATTCATGCTCTACCGACTGAGACTAGCAGGCCACTTTCATGACCTTTTTTGCCTGAGAGGAACCTGGCTCCTGCTCCTGCTAATGCCTGCTGTTCACCATTTCTTCCCATAGTTGGGAAGACAACTTTCTCCCAAGACCAGGTCAAAATATCTTGTTGTGCACTGGGGCTCGCCCCACACGTTTTCTGGGAATGGTGATTCATGCTCACCTGGCACAGTGGCTCGATGGGTAATTTAAGCCCTCATTACTTCAGCGACTGTGTGCATACCATCAGCTCCTGCTGGTACAACTTGCATGTTGTGTTCATGTGTTAAATTTACTAAAAAATGGTATCTGCAGAATTTTTTTCCTGGCCGGTTGCAAATCCCTAATCACCATGATCTTACAGTCCCAAACTAAAAATTTTACACAGTGGCTCGCATGTGAATCCGCCCGTCATTACTTCAGCATGGAATTCGCAAAGTTGTCTGGTATGTCATGTGTTCCATGTGGTCTCGTTGGTTTAATGAAAAATACTAAATGCTACTTAAATGAGAAAAAAGGGTCCACTACTTTACTGAGACTCAATTTAATGTACACACTAACTTCAAATCAAGGCATGAATTATATATAATCTAAAAGTGTTCCTGTCCGGCAGCTGGGCAATTTGCTGACTACAACAATCCTCCTCCATTGTTACTTTCTGACCAATTTAAAAGATTTATTCAAATTTTCGCATTTATTTAGATAAATTTTTTAATTTGCAGATTTACCTTTTCTTCACCCGTCACTATAAGCTTCAAATCAAGGCCGTTAATTATATATAATCAAGATTATCCAGCATCAATGAGATCCCCTTTGCGTCATAGGAACTCCTCCGCCCGTTATTTCTGACCAATTTCCATCATCTCCACGTTTTTGCTTTATTTGGAAAATCTCTGAATCTGGATGATGATCTTCAAGCTGAAAAACATTGTTCCTGAAAAAAAAAACTCCAAATTAATTCCAAAAACATCAATAGATGAGAATCCATCGATGATGTGTTTTCTAAAGAAAAGGTAATGTCCCATTCCATCATAATAAGTTAGATTTTATTCTGTTGAAATCTCTAATATCTATGATAAGCTGAAAGATATGAATATTATCCTACTAGCAAAAAACATTTTGTCAAGGAACACTGGCGGGTAAACGATGCAGTTATTAATTTTTGAAAAAATAATGTCAGCAGTTCGATTAGATAAGTTAGTCTTTACAGGTTTGATTTAATCATCGTCAATGCTCTGAATGAAAAAAGCATGTCAAAAGCGTTGGAAATTTTAAGTGCATTCCCATTTCAAGGCTAAGTGTGCGAATGCCGTTCTAAATATCTTGCCAGTAACCAAGCATAATTCTATAAGATCGTTCTCATCCGTCAATGCTCAGAAACGACCCGGCCAATTTGTTTTAGCAAAACTCATTTCCGTTCATTGCCTTCTAAATGATGTTATCGACATTTTCCCCATATAAAAGACTGATAAAACTGACAAAATTTTTTTGAATATTCTGAATTAGTTTATTATAAAACTGATATTAAATGACCAATTTTTGTAAATGATGCTGTCCGTTCATTGCTGGAATTCCAAACGCTGACATGTTTCCCATTTTAAATGTTTGCTTTTTACCACAGAAAGCATTTTGAATAAGTCAGCTTAAATAAATTAAAGACCCCCAGGACTGAAATGACTTAGAATCATGCTGTCCTTTTGAGAAAATTGAAGCGACCTCCGATAACTACAAAAATTTTCCTTCCTTTTCTCACAATTTTTGACACTGCAATTGAATAAATTTAAAGACCCCTGGACTGTGGAGGTTAAATCCTGCATCCTTTTTTCTCAGGAGTCAAAAAAAAAAACTCAAATGTTTTCCTTTTCTAACATGGAAAATAAAACAGATTGTGGAAATCTTCGTGCCTGGCTTTAATGAGCTGCTAATTCCTTCACAGTATTACTTTCTCAATAAAATCATCATTTCATCTAAATGGAAATAGTGCTTCATTCCTTTCATCTAGGATGGATGACTAAAACAGCCATGGTGGAGGTTGTTTTGAATCTCAAAATGTTGAGAGGTGTTTCAGTGCTTCTCAACTTAACCCCCTTTCCCCAATGATGACATAAAACCAACCTTTTTTGAA